TACACATGGAGAAGAGTATCGTATTCTTCGGACTGTAAGGCGCACTTAAAATCCTTTAATTTTCTCAAAAATCAACAGTGAGACTTATGTATGAAAACAGACCCGTTCGTTGATATTCCGCCTTATAGTCCAAAAAAATATGTAATACGATCCATCATCATTTCAAATAACACCGGAAACAGAAGACGTCACTTGTCTGAATTCATGTTTGGTAAGTTGACAAATAGTCTCCAAAGCTTCGTTCACACTGCAGCTCGATGGTCAGTTATGGTTTATTTTCAAGGTGGTTCAATTTATAATTTAAATGTGACCTCAGTCAGACTCCAGGGTGAGCAGTTCACGGTACTGAAGAAGAAGACGTGACGTCACATGCAGCGTTTACACAGGAAATGGCATGTGTGGGTCGGTTCTGAAGTCGTGGTGCAATCAGAACCGACAAACTCATCATCTCACAGGATTGTTTTATCCAGCAGTAACATTGTGTAAACATGTACACAGAATTAAACTTCTGCAACGGGAGTGATGTACTGAAGGTGAACTCAAGCAGTGATATGGTCCGACACTAAGCTCGGGATCAGATGATCCAGGACGAATTTAAAAATAAAAACTGGACTTGTGTATATGCCAAGTTCCAAACCTTAATGATCCCTGCCAACATCTGCTGATGGCAATGAGGTTCATTCATTCAGACACCCCCCCCCCCCCCCCCCCAATTGACTTGTTTAACTCTGAAAATACAAAAAACAAATAAAAACAGGGAGTCATTAATTTGCTAATGGATGTATTTTAATAAAAATAATTCTGTCAAAATTAAACAGAATACAATATTTCTTTTTTAAACATGTTTCCAATAATTTTTTTTTATTTTATTATTCTTATTTTTCCGTTTTTTAAATTGTTTTAAAGGTTTTCAAAGTTATGCTAAGCAGAGGGGAACTCAAGTCACAGATGTCATTTCCTACTAAAACTCAAAAGTCAAAATCAGAAATTAAACTCGTGACAGACGTCGTTTGTCAGATTCGGTTTCTGTGGCCTCCCAGGAGGAAACTTGCACAACACTGGAGGACTCGTTTGGACATTCCACGTCCTTCCTGTCCTTAAAATCAGTGCCGTCTGAACAGGAAAGGCCCAAACAGTGAAGACAACCGAAACACTTTCTAGGTGAGTAACAGGTTGATGCGTCAGTTTGTAACAGAAGATGTTTTACTGATGAAGGAGTGACTCATCCTGAAGGGTTCAAAAAACAGGAAACAAGAAAACTTCAGCGCTGAAATCCTCTCGTGAACAAAAATGCACACTTCAGTGAGGATCTACATGACTTTTTCAAGACAGATCGACAAGTTTGACAACATCCAGCCATTTGGTAAGAAAAGAGGAACAGTTTTTAGTTTTTACGGAGCAAAAAAAAAAAAAACAATAAATAAAAGTTTGACATCAAACCCCTGTCACTAAGAACAAAGGCCATGGAGACGTGGAGTCAGGCTGATGAACACGGTTTAAATAAAACCACAGGAGCAGCCTTTAAGAGAAGTGAACAAGTCTAAAAATAAAAGTTACTAAATGATTGGTGGACAGAGTGAACTCTCTTTTAAATTGAACAGAGCTCTTCTCAATTAGCTGTGAATTAATTAAACACTTTCACCACAAAATTTGAGGTCATTAAAATAAACAAGATTGAAAATCTTAAATGCCCACGGATTGTATAAAACAGATGGAAGCAGCCCCTCAGTCTGAAAACCAAAGCCAATGGCCAGCAGGGGGCAGTGAAACAGATAAACTAGATGATAGATTTTAAAAATACTTCACTCTTGTACTGATTTGTTATTTAATAATTAATTAATTTATAATAAAATAAAATAAAACATTTTTGACAAAGCCCTGATCTTTGGAACATTTAAAGTGACACAATACAAAAAATCTTTTGGAAGACTTGAGCTTGATGTCGTTTGAGGCGGCAAGAACAAGAACAAAGATCGTTCTGCAGAACTCGGTGTTTAACGTCGCTGTTTTGGCATTAACCACGCCCACATCAAACTTCTGACCAATCACACAACAGCTGCTGTACACAGCCTAAATGATGACGTCTGCAACATGATGCCAGAACTCATGAACCAGGGCTGCAGAACTATTTTCTCTGTTTTGTTGCCACATAACTGCCTCGATGTATTTGTCTGTTAGCAAAATGCTAACGCCACTGATACAAAAATTAATAGAAGTCATTTAGTTTTGTAGATACTGAGCTAAGACTCACGTTTGTAGTCGAGTCATACATAAAATCCGAGCAGTAAACTATTCATTCAGAGCATTTTATAGATCTGATCGTAGAGTACGTTTGTGGCAGAAGAAGATAAAACAATCTGAGTCAATCCAGACATTTTGTTTTCTGACTGGTTTTAAAAGAGAACATGTTGGACATCAGGTTAGATGTTGTTCTCTTTAGTTCTGAATCTTTATGCAGTGACTAAAAACTCTTCTAAACATATTGCGGTGGCTGCTTCCATCTTTATCTTCATCATCGTGATACAGAAACTCTTAAAGGGATCTCCGACTAGTTCGAACAAGACCTGTGATTTATTTTAAAAAAATTTTTATTTTTTTTACAAATGTTGCTTCAAATATAAAAACAAGACTAAAAATAATGTAAAATAAAAATATTGTCACATGAATGTCACAGTCATGTTTATGCAGTAATGCATTCTGGGTAAATGGCATAGACAGTTTTCTCAAGCGCAGCTCCGTCCAACTTGGACGTTAGTTTTGGACAGTGATGTTTTTTTTTTTATTTGAACCGGAGTGAGTTGACAGAGAATGTAGAAATGACTCGACTGAAAATGATGAAGAGGAGCAAGTCGGGCTGAAGAGCTGCTGTTGATGAGAGAGATTCTGCTGCACAGAGCTCCGCTTTCTGTCACGAGCTGTTCACAAGCATCAGCTCAAAACATTCTCATATATTTTAATTATACATTATGTGATAATACAAATTTAAATGTAGTTTTGGTCGCGTTACACATCCATCCATTCATCATCTGCTGATCGTCTTATTTTGGGTCGCGGGGTTCTGGAGCAGACCCTAAACCAAACTTGGTTCCACCCAGACCACATAGCAACACACACCACCACACATTAATCACCGGGACCGCACACTTGACCGCAGTCCGATGTCGCCCCGTGGACGGAGGACGCACGGCAGAGGTTTGTATGGGCATGCTTCAGCTTTAGCCCGTTAGCTTTCAAGTTAGCTCAGAGCTAATAGCTTTAGCTCTAGAGCTAAAGTACTAAACATCACAAGTTGATCACATTTGATCGTTTCGGCCAATATACTGTGTGTAGGGATCAATTCAAAATCTAACTTTTTTGTTACAATACAACTTTTTAGCCTCCACTGCACTATTTACACCATCGCCCCAGAATGCATTGCGTCGGAAGTAATTACGCAGTTTTTTTTAGGTGCCACAAACACATTTAACCAGAACATGGAAAGAACATAATAAGGCCAACGTGTGCAATTAGTCGGAGATCTCTTTAATATTAAAGATAAAAACAGAACGATAAAAATTTAACTTTTAGAAAACGCTTGAACTTTTCTGATCAGACAGCAGAGCGTCTCTGATCTGATTTCAAAATAAATAAAGTTTAAACAAACCAAAAAAAAAAAAAAAAAAACCTGCATTGTTTATTTTACAAAATAGTTTTATTTTTATCAAAACTGTTACAAGACAGGAAGTTAAAATAATTTCCATGAGCTTGTTTTTTATACTTCTGAGCGTCTCCGATGATCCACTTTCTGCTCCGATGAAAGTTTTCCTACGCGTGAGGGAAATCTGCGTTTAACACAAAAATACTCAATTTAAACGAGTGTTAGGTGTTAATAAACGGGGAACGTTTAGTTCCTTTCTCTGCTCGTTTATATTAAAAATCTGAAGAGAAAAAAGTCTACTTTTAAGGAGATTGGGGACAAAAAGCTCTGATCAGGAAGTACATAAACTTTTTAAACTTGTTTAAATCTCGGAGTGAGCAGCAGCTAAAAAAACGAGACAAAAAACAAAGAAACTTTTGTGTTGAATTGTCTTTTTGCACGTTTGATGCAGCCCTCGGGAACAAAGGCCTCGGGTTTTCACAGCCTCCCTGAGCCCGGTTTGAAAGCAGAACGGCAGCGCTTTAATCATCACAGAGTGCACCTTCAGATTACAGCCCTCCCTGTTTGTCACATGATTTCACCTCTTTATTTGAAATTCGAGTTGACGCTGCGTGAGCGCCCTGCGGGTCCGGCTGCTGTAATGAAATCTCCAGAAGAGACTTGACTTTTCCTCGTGCGCACACTGTGCTCGTTAGGCTGCCTTTCTTTATGCTGGCGTCGAGATGATAATAGTGTTAGACTCGGCCCTGAAGGCAGGTGTCGTAGGTGCGGCGGGGCCGAGCTCTGCCACCTGCAAGCACATCACTGATTGGTCGGTCGTTACAGGATAATTAAGGCTCCAACACCTCCGTCCTGGTTAGCGTTTGCCACCGCCGAGGACCTTCAATTATGTAGTTGCTTTTTTTTTCTTTTTTTAGATCCTGCTCTTTGGCAAATAATCTGCTTCGTTCTGAGAAAAATATTGTAGAACTTTTTCCTCGGAAACACAACACAGCTGTTGTTTTTTTATGCATTATTTCTAACTTCCTGGAATATTTTTTGTCGTACGGTCAGAACAAATGAGGCGCTCCACTCGGTAACAGTCGCTGCCCACAAAGCGCCCTCAGGTGTGGGTCTGTCATGTCCTCAGCCTTAATAAAGCTGATTTAATCTGAGTCAGGTTTGGGTAAAAGGGCCTACAGGTGAGAGGGTCGCCACGGAAACCACCCCGCCGTGTGACACGATGAACAAACGGCAACATTGGTGATGACGCCGAGTCCAGATCCATCCATTAAAAACAAAAGAAACAAAAACTTTTTTTGTTTGGGATGAGCACAACAAACTGACAGAAAATAACTAAAAAAAAAAAAACCTAGATACTAACAATAATATAATCTTTAAATAGTGTCACACATTTCTTTATTTGATAATACTAAAATTAAATAGGAAGCCTTCCTCCCTTCTCTGCTCCTCTGTCGGTGCAACGGCCAATAAGATGCATGCTCGCTCCTCGCCACCGCCATGACAAAAGCCAGCTGGCCACGCCTCCCCGTCAAGATGCTCAGCGTTAACCTGCAGAGAGACAGAGGACGTCCTGAAGACACGTTCTCTGTGCTTTAATTTAGTGTTTGAACCGATGGGAGACAAATGCATCGTTATCGCCAATTACTGATAAAAATTTGTTGTCTTGATTCAAGATGGCTGCCACGGCTAATTAAGTCAAAGTTTCTTTATTCGTCATACGCACCACATGTGGTGGAACGAAATTGTGTACACAGGGTCCCAGTTACATCAAACAAAAGTATAAAAGTAATTAACCATAGCAACCACAAAAATGGCAACACCACCATTAGTTTAATACAGTGGTTCCCAACTCTGGTCCTTGAGGAACACCATCTTGCATGTTTTAGTTGTTTTCTTGCTCCATCACACCTGAATCAGTGAATTAATTACTTGCTCGTGTTCTGCAGAAACCTGTTAATCACCCATTCATTTAAATCAGATGTGTCAAAAGAGGAAACAACTAAAACATGAAGGATGGTGTTCCTCAAGGACCATGATTGGGAACCATTGGTTTAATAGATATTAAGCTTAGATTTGATGTGGTAGTGGCTGATAAGTGATCCCCAACTCTTTCTTTGAGCACCAACATTTTGTGCGAACGTTATTTTCAAGGTTTACCCTAAACAGCTGCAACGCCGTCATCTTTTGTCTATAGAAAGGCGGCAGGCGTCAACCATTTTCCTTTTTAGATTTGCTCACCTGAACGAGGGCTAGCGCAAAAAGTAGTCAACTCTAGCGAAGGAGCAGGACCCGGAGCGGACCCGACCCATGAGCTGAACGCACTCGGTGGCCTGGCCAAGCGCCAGCATCAGCGGCGGCTGTTTGGGCAGGTTCTGGGACTCTGGAGGACAAAAACAAACAAACAGTGAGATGAGGACAGGAGACACGTTTTTATCCATCACTCATCAGGAGCGTCGTTTGATTATTTCTCTCCAAGAAACTGAACAAACATCTACAACGGCCAACCCAATCCAAGATGGCCACCACAACTAATCTACTTTAAAACGCATAAAAAAGCTCGACTGATTTTAGTTGATGAGCAAAACACTTGGTGTGGTAGTAGCAGAGAGTCGTCCTTGACCCTTACTTTGAGCGCCAACACAAGATCTTTGTTTTTAACTCAGGTCTGAGAGGAGGTGAGAGGAGGTGGACGATATGCAAAAAAAGTGAGTTAATTTCAATATTTTAGTTCAAAAAGTACAATTTGTATATTATGTAGATTTAATACGAAAAATAATGATCAGAAATCTGCTGTAGCTAGATTTTTATTCCTTAACCGTCAGTGGAGCCAGAACTCTGCGGAGGTTTTGGTGAGGACCTGAGTATCAGCAGTGCCCCCTACAGAGTCAGTCTGGTACTACACGCAGTCAGACCTTTCAGACTTTTAAAATAATCATAGATCTATTTAATCTTTTAACGATCAAAGTAGGTTACAGGACGTGTGATTGGCTGAGTTTCTCTTTGGTTTTACTGATTCATTCCAGACATGTCAAAACCATTGACCTATCCATGTACACACACACATACATATATATATATACATATATATACACACACACACATATATATATATATATATATATATATATATATACATTCATGCACACACACAGATCCCATTTAACATGTCTGAAAAGGGGTAGGAAGAAGTAAAACTTATGTAATCCTACCCCTTCTCCAATACTCGATAGTTACACATTATACCCATCTGATTAATGTTGTTGGTTTAATGTTGGTTCTGATTGTTTCAGCGCTGTTGGACCTGCTGTGGCCACTGCAAGCCAAAGCCTGCAGAACACCAGTGTTATGTGGCGTTCTGTAAGCCCAGCAGTGATGAACAGCTTGTGTGTGTTTCTGCAGGCTAAACTCTTCAGTCTTTGCTCTGGGAAGTCACTCTAATGTCACGTCTGTCAGGGAATCAGGTTTATTAAAAGATAACGTAACAAAAAGTCTCTGAGCTACGTTAAAGTCTAAGTGATAACACAGTTGAGACGTCTGAATGTGCTGTCTTTACAGAAACATCATGGGTGTGTGTGTCTGCAGGTAACTGACACCTGACAGTTTGGGGTTTTTAAATGTGAACAAAGAAGTCAAAGCTGAGCATGTGCTGATAAATCCCTCAATTCTCAACGATTTGTAACACCTGTGCACGGCCCAGACAGTAGACAGAAATTCAAACATATATCAGAAAGCTGAGTTTCAGTGGGCTAAAAACACACTTTTGGTCTAATGTTTCCTTTTCTTTGCTGTGGTTGAACATTATTCCGCGGTTTGTTTGGCTCTTTACCCAGTATGGCGCTGTTGAGTGCAGAGCAGAGTGATTCTCTCTGCGTGGGGTCCAACTGCTGGCCCACCGGGCAGTTCCACGGGTCCGAGTACGCCAGCAGGCTGAAAGCATCCTGCACACACACAATGCTTTTATAAATATAACAAGACTAAACAATGCAGTGCGGTACAATCTGCACTGACGTGAAAACTACAACCTGAACAAAACATCGCTGCTCGTTTAAAATTAAAATCACATCTTTAAAGAAAACACGTTTTCTAACTTCATCGAGTCTTCTGCTACAGGGTTACCAGCAGTTCATAAAAATTTAATTCCCTCAGGTTTCCCTGAGTAAACCCTGAAGTTCCAGGAGACATTTCAGTCACACTAAACACACTTCACTCCCTTTTGGCTTTTTAGTTTCCGAAAATCAGAGATGACAGGAAGTAGACTGTAGCCGTAAGTGCACACAGCAATCCTTCCTAATAATTACCGTAATTTCCGGACTATAAGCCGCTACTTTTTTCACACGCTTTGAACACTGTGGCTTATACAATGCTACGGCTAATTTACAGATTAATTTGGAGGGATGGGCTAACAAGCTTCATGCCACCAAACGTTTAGCTTCATCACACCCGGGCGCTCCAATAGCTGCCCAATACACGTCTCTCTTGGGGGGTGGGGCCTCGCAACTCCATGAGACTACTATAGATAGTTTTTTTTTTTTAATCTGAACAATGAAATTACTGAACAGGTCACAGTGGAATGAAACTTGGTTTTATTGATTCACTCTTCTCCACTCCCCGTTGCAGCCCCAGGGAGGGGGGGGGAACTATTTCCCCCCTCCCTGGGGCTGCAACAAAGTATTTGTGGTCACTTAAAGTCAGTGTGAATTGTAAATCAAATCAAATCGCAAGTTTGCCTCTAGACCATATGTGTCAAACTCAAGGCAAGTGTGGCCTATATATGTACTAATTTTATTTATTTTTTTATTTAGTGGACACGGTTTATATTCAGGTGCGCTCAATAGTCCAGAAATTACAGTAATTGTATTGTATAACATCAGAAACTAAAAACCCAGCAGAGCCAGTGAGTAAAAATACATGTTCTGCTTCTACAGCCCACACAGTACAAGACTCACTGACACTAGAATACTAGCATTAATACATAAACACGTTAAAATCTCAAAGATAATCTTTTGATCAGCAGTTCAGTCAAACTCTAAGTTTTTCTGTCTGAAAATTTTAAGTCATTTTCTGGGTTTTCCCTGATTTCCAGAGTCATAGGCAACCTTAAAATATTACAATAACCCAACAACCTTAAAATAAAGATATTTTCGTTGTTTTGTTTGAACTCGCAGCTTTCACTGGGCCTGCAGGACGGTTCGGTTCCGCTTGTTGGAACTCGTGTGTCAGTTTTATAAAGCTGGATGAGTTTCAGTTGCAGGTTTGTTCCTTTTGTTGTAATGGATAAACAAGCAGGTATCATAAAAAAATCCTTTCGTGAATTAATATTCGTTTTATATTTTAGGCCCAACTGTTTTGTCTGTTGTCTTCGTCTTTGTTTACATTTTTTATCCTAAGTCAGAGTTTTATAACAGGTGTGTCTTCAGAAATAATACTTTTATAATTTCCTTTGAAAGTGGCTTTTTTTCTCTGCTGGGAAATCCCTTCGTATAGTATTTGGTGTCATGATGTTTGGAGATTCCCCTTTTATATTATATGGTTTGATGATGACATCAATGACATCACTCCAGACCAAATAAATAAATAAATAAAAATGCAGCGGGTTTGTTCTGAATAGAAGTACTGACATGCTCAGAGTGAGAAGTTTTACTTCCGGGATGAACGTAAACAAAGCCGAGCGCCCAAAATGGACCAGCGACAGGGTTTAATGACGGGAGACGTTACTGCACTCCCTGACTGAGCTACAGGTAATACAGATCGTTTTGAGCTCTTTCAAAGTTTCTAGTAGAAATGTTGTGTCGCTCAACGAGCAGTTTAGCTTCCCTGACATGCTAATATTATTAGCATTACCCAGGCAGAAAGGACATAGGTTGCACATGCGCAGTCAGGTCAGTTTTTCATGATCGGAAAAAAATGAACAGATCAAGCGTTTACATGCGCACTGTTCGGGTTAGGAATCGGCGTAAACCACCCGTTTCATTCTGATTACAAATTCTTTCGGATCACGCTGAATAAACAAAAAATAATACGAATGAGGTGACGCATTTTTATTCCAAACGACCATTTGGTCCAATTACTTATGTCCATGTAAACATAGCTACTATTGAAAAGTTCCTTGTTGTGACTCAGGTCTGATTCATCCAGACAGTTGATTGGTGAGTGGATGCAGCTGAGGTGATTACAGTTGAAGGCGAATCAAGGCAAACAGTGAAGCTCAGGAACACAATGAACAGGTAAGAATATTTACTTGAAAACTGGAAAGCATAAATCATAAACTCAAAAAGTAGTTTGTTTTAATGTTTTAGACTTTCTCTTTAAAAACTAACGATGTTCACTCTTAAAGCTAGCTACAAAATGTTAAAACGGTCCAATATTAATTCCTCGCATTGGAACTCTGCTGCTCTTCATTTTTTATGAGCAAATTTTCACTCATAAAAAAAAAAAATTGAAGACCCAAAATGAGTCCATGAACTCGTTTTTGCAGAATGAAGGTTTCTAAAACTGAACATAGGCAGCCCAAATAAAAATAAAAAGTAAAAACTGGAAGCAGAGCGATCAATAAACAGACTGACGCAGTGAATAATGAAGCTGAGGCAAAAAGAAAAGCACTTTTTCCTGAAAGAACAGACTTTACAATATCCTGAGGTCACAGATTAGTTCTGCTTCTTTTTCTATCTTTTATAAAAATAAAGAAAAGAAAGAATTCTCCAGGCTGGACTTATTAAAGTCCATCTCTCTATGAACATTCAGCTGAAGAACTAAAGCCCCTTTAATTTTAGAGTTAAACGAAGAGTTCAGCTCCGAAACAAAAAAACACATGAATTCAGTCAGAATATCAACGTGAGCGGTTGTTTTTCTGTTTTCTTTCAGTGAGTCAGAGAGGAACAAGTTCTCCATCTTCCCGTCAGAGATGTACGTCTGCCCCCCTGGTGGTGAAAACATGAACGTCTTGTTTGTCAGACCTTCACTGTCCCTACAAACAAACTTAAAAGAGTTTTCTACATAAATTTGTGACACTCGAGGGAAAAAAAAGTGTCTCAAATCCACAGAAAACTTTAAATCAGTGTTTATTTGTTAGGAGTTACTTAAAGGGATTTTTACACATTTAATTCCTCGGAAAGGTTTGACTCGGTGAGACCCACCAGAAGAAACCGTCCCTCCTGACCTGTAACATCTTCTTGTGTGTGGAGTTGGTGCCGAACTCGCGGCACAGCTGCTCACTGAGCACCTGCAGCTCCCGTCCGAACTGGATTATCCTCTCCGTGGCCGCCTGGTTCCCCCCGCAGAGCTGTTTGCTGCTGCGACCCTCATCTGCAGGCGACACACATGCTGCGTGAGGACCTGAAGCTGGAAGCCAAAGACACTCCATCATAAATCTAAAACCAGCGCTGACCTGTGACCCCGTTGCAGATGCTGTTGTCGTCCGGCTGAAGGATTTCTTCGTGTTTGTACGTGCCGTTCATGATCCGTGTCGTCGAGCCTTCCACGACGCCGTTGGTGTAGTGCTCCGCTTCGATCTCCATCTCGCTGTCGCTACGACAAACAGATTTAAGGAGCAAAACTTCAGCTCAGAAAACTAAGCCTGCGCTCAGAGAAACTGGACGTCAAGGAAACATGATGATGTCTCGACTTTCTTTAGCTTCTTCTGATACCTTCTTCTAGAAGGCATCAGCTAATCCATTCATCACTCGAACCCCTTAAACATGTATCAGTGTGTTACTGTGAGAACAAAGTAAATGTTCTGCTGCTTCTGAAACTTTAGATAAAGTTTTTTAATGTGAAGCCCAGATCTGTCGGCTCACCTCTCACAAACACACCACCTTCACGACCTGGTCCACAGGTCCGAAGGAGGGTCCTACCTTGTCTCCTGGGTGCTGTTGGTGCTGTGTGGCTGGCTCTTGGTGGAGTCTGAGAAGTTGGACTCTGAGTAGTTTATGGAGGAAGGAGAGGAAGAGGAGGAGGAGCAGGCGGAGGAGGAGGAGGCGCTCGGGTACTTCATGCTGCTGCTGTGGTTCTTGGACTTGTTGGACAGACTCACACTGTTACTGCAGGTGGGACTGTCTGCTCCTGTCCACCACAGAATACAACGAAACACAACTCTCTGAGTGACACCTGGCTTCTGTTGCTGTACAGGTGTGTACTGTGTGTGTACCTCCACTGTACAGGTGTGTACTGTGTGTGTGTACCT